TTAGGGTTTAGGGTGTAGGGTCAAGCGATTTGGCTAAAACCCCCAACCATGTAAATCCTAAACTCTAAAATCCAAACCCTAGCCATCTGAAAACCCAATGGGTTTTTGGCTTGAGGTTTAGATTTGGTAGGGCTTGAGGTTCCGGATTCGTTGTTTAGGATTTGGGGTTCATTGTTTAGGGTTTAGGGTTTAGTGTTTAGGGTTTAGTGTGTAGGGTTTAGAGTTTTGTGTTTAGGGTATAGTGTTTAGGGTATAGTGTTTCAGTGTTTAGAGATTAGTGCTTAAGTGTTTAGGGTTTACTGTTAAGTGTTTGGGGTCTTGTGCTAAGGGCTTAGGGTTAAGTTTTTTGGGTTAGTGTTTAGGGTTTGGTGCTTAGCGTTTAGGGTTAGCGTTAAGGGTTTCGGGTTTGTTTTTTAGGGTTTAGGGTTTCGGGCTAAGGGACTTGGATACTATCAAAAACCCCTGGTTTAGGTTGCTGTCTGGGCTGATCTATTTTTCGAACAACAAGCCCTGTAATTCGGCGCCCAGGAAATCGTATTTACAAAGTTTTGTCTCTCGAAATGAACGTGTGTCTTCAGCAAAAAGCATAATTTTCGTTAGAAAATGGAGATTTTAAAAGGAAAATACATGTTTTTTCTTCAACAAAGAGTAGATGATTTTCGGTAAAAGAAAAAGCAATAATCATATATCTTGTGAACGGACGGTGGCGATCCAGTTTTGGTCCAGTTTCGGCCCAGTTTCGATCCAGTTTTGGTCCAGTTTCATGAACTGCCGTCAAGTCTTCAATTGAAGTTTCAGTGGCAGATTATTCGCTATACACGTCACCCGACATTTCGCCCGTCAGCGTTTGAGGAAAAAGAACAGCCGCAAGATACAGGTTTAAGAGACAGGTTTCAGAAGCAAAATGCACATAAAACACCGCTGAAAGTCCATGGTACAGTTTTTAATGCATTTTCCGAGAAAAAAGCAAAATTCAGACGAAGACGAAGACAGCAAAACCATAAGTGGGGATCATGGAGGGCTGGGTGACCATATATATACCCCATTTTAAATTTCCAATAGTTGAAATTTATAGACATCGAAATTATTTGAAAATCAAGTTGCTGAAATGTAGAAAAGAAACTCGAAATTTGGTAAAAGAGAATGGAAGTTTTCAATATTATACGGTTTACGCCATGCTTGCGGATTAAATACGTCCGAAAGTTCCGAATCCAAGGTAGGTGCCCTCGCAACAACATTATTGCCAAAATCACGATCGCAGGCCTTAAGGGCGGCAGATCTGCGTGAACCCTGAACCTCCAACACCCAACAAACCCGAACCCCCCCCAAATCCTAGACCCTAAACCCCTTTCCCTTCCAGGAGGGTTGAGGGGGCTTCGAGTTTAGAGAGTTGCGGGAGTAGGGTTGAGGACCCTGAACCCTAAACCCTATAAACCCTAAGCCCTGAAAGGGCTGCGAGTTTAGAGAGCTGCGGGTTTAGGGTTGAGGGCGAGAGAATGACCAGTCTTTGAGTGACCGTGCTTCCGAGATGGAGTCCTGCGGCGGCAATCAATTTTTTGCACAACCGCCGTTTGCCAGCTTGGGGGTTTGGGGTTTAGGGTTTAGGTTTAGGGTTCTAGTCTTCCGTGTCGCTCAGCTCCTGTTGGTTGCATGCTGCAAGCATGATCAGCCGATTTGTCTTTGCCCTGGTAGTGGCGTACACTGACAGCAGGGTCACGGCAATCACGCAGGCTGCTAGGCTGAATTTTAGGCCGTAGGCTCCATGGGCGACCACACCAAGCCAAACAAGGTCTCCTGCCCACATCAGTGCCCCGAGAATGAAGCTCACCAAAGGCATCTCTACCGTTATCGGCATTCCTGCCACCCAGTCTGACAGCTTCTCGTCTGGAACGAAGCCCACCTGCATGATGAGGATCGTCGTCAGGATCACGGCAATTACATTGAAGGCCAGGCCCATGCTGCACAAAAACGGATGAATCGTGTCACAAAACTCTTGGCTCGGCAGCACAGACAAAAGCAGATCGCCTTTGCACTCGGCCACTCTGGAGTAGTCCAACATGGTCAAGAACAAGGCCCCCACGACGCCGATCGTTGTCCACGACGCCATCATGCGTTCGCGGAACGTGGCAGGATCCAGACTCTTCCCCAGCATTGGCAAAGTCTCCAGAAAAGGTGACTTGCATAGCGTCCGGCAGAAGGCCAGCATGGCCAAAGCCGCCTGCAGATCTGATTGCACTGACCGCGTGGAAACGTTTGTCCTTATTTAGACCCCAAACCCTAAACCCTAAACCCTAAACCCTAAACCCTAAACCCTAAACCCTAAACCGAAAAACCCAAACTTTGATGGACGTCATAGTCTTAGCACTTGCATACCACTTGTTGAACATCTACTCCGTGACTCCGTGACTCCTTCCGAGCCGGAAACGCCTCGAGGGAGATTGCAAGGAGCTGGCCCTCCTAGGGTTTAAGGTTTAGGGTTTAGGGTTTAGGGTTAGGGGGTTTAGGGTTTAGGGTTTAGGGTTTAGGGTCTAGGGTCTAGGGTTTAGGGTTTAGGGTTTAAGAGTCTGAAAGGCAGCCGACCTACCACGAAAGAGACATTGCGGCTCCGGCAGTATTACAACATCGATTGATCGATGATGCGGAAGACCCTAAACCCTAAACCCTAGCCTTCGGGGTGTAGAAATTGCAGGGCGAGTGCGAACAACAGCCAGGGCATGCAGAACAACCTGCTCAGCCTTTTCCGGCGCTCGGCTTTCCATGTCCGCACCTGGTTAAGGTGCTCAAGCTTCGTACCTAGCGCAACGACGCACATGCTGTTCATGTTGAAATTTGGCCCGATTTAATCTCATGTCCACACCGCTCAGGACGACTGAGCCGTCTGCAGCGGGAAGACATTGCAAGACTGGTTGCACGCTGCAGCCCACCACGGCCCCTCGACCGTTTCCATGAGCTCCTGCCACCAGTCCCCGGCATCGAAGGATTCGTTCAAGGATCTGCTAAAATCACTCAGAATGACTGGGCATGCGTCCATTCTGCAGCTGCACCTCGTGTCGACCGGCGCACTTGCTAGCAAGCAGGTTTCTGAGCAATGAAGCTTGTCCCACAAAGCACTTGCCTGATCCAAACTCTTGCCCTTCGTCTCCGTCATCGAGTCATGGATCGAAAAACAGAACCTCTCGCAGAAGTTTCCGGCCTCACCGACTGGCGTGGACGCTGGTGCCTGCGCATGGTTCTGGATCCAACTCAGAAGTTCGGACGAACTGTATCCAAGCTTGTTCTCTGCGAACTCCTCCAACTTCTCCTGGGCTTTGAAGTACCCAGGAAGAAAGAAGGTATAGACTATGATAATTAAAGTACATTAAAGTATAGTATAAAGGGATTCCTACGGTACATTATTGTATATTAACTGCATATTTCATAATGGCTCCTTTAAAGAACAGGTCTTAACAAATAAAGATAAAAAAACTATGGTACTTCAAAACCCAGTCTCAAGGATTGGGTGGAACATGGCTTTGAGATCTGCGGTCTTGATGCCCGCGGCCATCCCTATATCCTAGGCTGCCCAGCAACCAAGGCTTTTAAAGGGTGCCCCTTTTTTGCTTAAAGGGGTTCATAAGGGAACCTAAACCCCCCCAAAAAGGGAATAAGGGTACTACTGGGCATCCTAGCATCTTCTTCGCTGCAGAGGCTCCAGGGGCCCAACGTCGGAGCGCCCGGCCCTAGCTGTTCTACCGTACAGAAGTTGCCGGGGTTGTTATAAGGGTGCTCAGATTCCATGAAGCTCTTGCAACCTGTGAGGCAGCTTACATCTGGATCAGCTTGAAACGTCGCAGCCGGAAAATAGCCCTCAAACGGCCCTTGGCAGAAGTTGCCTGTTTCCGGACTGAATCCATCACATATAGATGACCAGTTTGCAGGGTACTCCCAATGACATTGGGGAACATCCCCTTCTGTCCAGATGAGCAAGCCATTGTAGGAATCCTTTAATAATGGAACATACTCTCCGGCTACTTCACGTAGCCGTTGCAGCTGTTGGCTTTTCGCCGCCGCATCCGAAGCTAGAAAGGCCATTTGGGCCCTGAGGTGGAGATGCATCATAACCTAGGTTGGTCCCCAAAGCCCTCTGAAAAATATTCCTGAATATGATCCTCTTAAACCCAAATAAGGGAAAATAAAAAAGTGTCCCAAGGCCCTACCTAGTAACAAAATGGAACTGAGCCAGGAAAGCGCCATGCGCCCAGTACTGTTGGCACTCGGTGAGCTCCGAAATATCCGTAGTCTGAATCTGATCACTGGGCTGCACGGGTGTTGTGCCGTCGGACCCGACACAGCCCACCTGAGCTCCAAAGATCTGGGCATTCGAGCCCTCGAAGAACTGAAGCTTGAGATTCAAGGCATGCCAATACTGGTTCTTCTTATCTTCTTCTGGTGCTGTGAGGCCAGCAATCTGTCCGATGTCGATGGGTATGTTGTAGAGCAACTTCATGAGATTGCCCAGTCTGTCTTCAGTGGTTTGCATGGCCTCTTTCACGGCCTGCATTGTGATGAGCGTCCGAACATTCTTCATGATCGTCTCGTAGAGCTTGTCAAAAGCGGCCTGCATGGCGTCGGAGGAACCTCCAAAGAGGGACAGACCGAAGGTGATCGCAATGCTCAGAAAAGGTCCGACATCAGGTATTTCCATGGCTGCCTGGCCGAGGCAGGTGCCGATGCCCTTTTCGAAGTCGACCAAGTTGTCCTCCTGACCCTCGACCGACCCCTGGATAAAAGCCGCCATGTACAGCAGGCCGTTGATCATGGCACCACCCAGTGCGAAATTCGCGCGCTTGCCGTGCGCATCCGGCGGACCCCATTGCATGCTACCCCACTCGGCCTTGGACATCTGCTCTGCAATGTCCTGGAAGCTGGTCGTCAAGTGTATTGATTGTGTGGAAGGAGCAGAGGTGGGAGCAGAGGTGGGAGCAGAGGTAGGCGCGGAGGTAGGCGCGGAGGTAGGCGCTGAGGTAACAGGACGATTAGGCCTTCCGAAGATTCCCCCCCAGTTCAGTGACAACAAGCTGGACACGCCTTCACATACTGCGCGCTCATCATCGCAGGATTTATAGCTTTGACTTGCTCCATTGGAAGGTGCGTGTGTTGCACCTTGCACAGCGGCGACCGCTGTCACAGCAGCGAGAAATGTGTGGATAGTCATTGCAACCACGCGGCCTTTCTACTGCCTGCTACTGGACAGTGGACAGTGGCCAGGGTTTCGGGTTTCGGGTTTAGGGTTTCTACACCACTTTCAGGTACCCTTGACTCTACTTGCTTGTAACCGCCAAGCAACCATCCATGCTTGAGCTGAGGGCGGTCCTAGATTCTGTGGCACCTGAACTCAGAGCGCGGTTGATACGTTTTGAAGGAGTTTGGGGTTTTGGATGGTTTTGGGTTTCAGGTTTAGGGCTTAGGCTAGCAGACTGCTAGTTGAACCGGGTTGGCTCTTTCCTTGTGACATCCGCAGCGATCAGCGCGCAACGTCCTGGCACAAATCCAAAGATGAAACTCGGGCTTGAAACTTGCAGGAACTCATCTTATAGGAACTCTAAAGCCCTGCACCCTACAACCCCCAAACCCTAAAACCTTAAAACCCTGGCACCAATTTTTCCGAACGATGCGATTCGCTGCTGTTCTTTCCCAGCAGTGCACGCTGAAGGGCTCCCAGAGGTCCTGGCCAAAGCTGGCTTTGCAGAGGGTTTAGGGTTTAGGGTTTGGGGTCTCGGGAGTTCAGGATAGGTAGCATGTGCTACATTCCTCTTTTGCAAACCCTAAACCCTGGAATTGTTGTGGCCGCTCCTACGCCCTTGCGCAGCAAGTCTATATGTTTTGCAGATGGCGGCCCGGTCCTTGCGCAAGCCGTTGCCTTGCAGGGCTGCGGGCTTATAGGGTTCAGGGTTAGGGGGTTAGGGTTTAGGGTTTAGGGTCTAGGATTTTAGGGTTTAGGGTTTAGGGTTTCAGGGTTTCAGGGTTAGGGTTTAGGGTTTAGGGTTTAGGGTTTAGGGTTTAGGGTTCAGGGTTTAGGGTTTAGGGTTTAGGGTTTCGGGTTCAGGGCTTAGGTTCGCTGTCAGCCGCGAAAGACACTGCCGTCAGCACGGGGCTATGGGAAACTTGCAGCACGCACCCAAGATCCCCCACCCCACGGAAGGAAACCTAAACCCTAAACCCTAAACCCTAAACCTTAAACCCGAAACCCTAAGCCAAGTCCCTTAAAAAAAGCAGCCATAAGAATGATCTACGGGCTTGTCAGGCTGCTGGCGCTGGGCATGTCTTCACACCACCACCTTGCCCAAGCTCAAAACCTGAGTGCCCCACACACCTTAAACCCTGACCCGAAAATACCCTAAACCCTACTATGCTCTTTCAAACACGAAACAGCCTAGAACACCTGCAATCAAAACACTAAACCTGTCAACCCTAAACTCAGTAAAGCCCCAAATCCCTCAACTCCCCAAACACCCGAAAAAACAAAAAAAAACTTGAACCTTAAACTCAACACCCTGCGAGCCCTGAACACCCCAAACGCCAAATCCCGAACCCCAGACTCGACCTCAAACCCTAAACCGTTCAGCCCTAAGCCCCACGAGGCCCTGAGCGCTAGGGTCTAGGGGTTTCGGGTTTGGGGTTCAGGGTTTACGGGTTTACGGGTTTCAGAGTTTGGGGGGGGGGGGGGGGGGGGGGTAGGGTTTAGGGGTTTAGGGGTTTACGGGTTTAGGGGTTTGGGTGTTTAGGGAGGGTTTAGGGTTTAGGGTTTTAGGGGTTTAGGGTTTAGGGTTTAGGGTTTTAGGGGTTTAGGGTTTAGGGTTTAGGGTTTAGGGTTTAGGGTTTAGGGTTTAGGGGTTTAGGGGTTTAGGGTTTAGGGGTTTAGGGTCTAGACAAGTTCATCTCCGAGCTGCCAAGCCATGGTTTCAGCGGGCCAGTCCAGTGCAGGATCCTTGCCTTCGGTTCTTTGGGCTTTGCCTTAGGGGGTTTGTGAGGCTTGCTCTTGGTGTGATGGGCACTAAGCTCTAAACCGTAAACCCTAAACCCTAAACCCTAAACCCTAAACCCTAAACCCTAAACCCTAAACCCCAAAGTTTCAGTCCTTTGTTGGCGGGCTTTCAGGGCCCTTCGGGCTTGGAGGTTAGGAGCTGCTTGGCAGTGTAGCTTCTCCCGAAGCCCTGAGGGGCTTCGGGCTCTGGGCAGAGTGCATCTCCCTAACCCCTGAACCCGAAACCCAAAATCCTAACCTCCACCATGTGAAACTAACCCGGCCCCATGAGACCCAACAAAACCCGGTATAGCCCCCCTCCCCCCCAAAAAAAGAGCTAAGCACCCAAAACCTGGACAACTCTTAAGGTTTAGGGTTCAGGGTTTAGAGTTTAGAGTTTAAGAACCCTCAGCACCCCAAACAAAGCCCAGAGCAGCCCTAAAAAGCAGCCGCAAGCACCTTTAGACAGCCCGAAGAGCCAACCCTAAACCCTAAACCCTAAACCCTAAACCCTAAACCCCTGGCACCTTGCGTATGAGCTCCGCGGAACGATCGCCATAGTGGCCGAGACCTCGAGGCCCAGGGCGAAGGTGCGCAGATAAAGGCTCTTCGGGTTTAGGGTTTAGGGTTTAGGGTTTTTTGGGTCGTTCGGGCTTAGGATGTGGGGGCTGTTTGGGGATATCGGATTTAGGGCTTTCAGGGTGTTTAGGGTTGGAGGTGTTTCTAAGGATCTAGGGATTTTGACGCTGCCCTGCATGTGAGGTTCAAAAGGTTTTGGGGTCTATAACCCTAAACCCTAAACCCTATATAAGGATTCAAGGGCTTTAGGGGCTTTCTGGGTTTAAGGGTTTTTGGGATTTAAGGGATCAAGTCCAGCAGGATTGAGGCATGAGGGCACTGCTGCAAGAAGGGCTTAGGGTTTAGGGTTTAGGGTTTAGGGTTTAGGGTTTAGGGTTTAGGGTTTAGGGTTTAGGGTTTAGGGTTTAGGGTTTAGGGTTTAGGGTTTAGGGCTACTAACATCGGTAACTGCAGCCCCATGACACAGTCTGCTGGAAGCAAAGCCACCGACCCTAAAACACTAGGAGCTCGACCCTGTCCTCTGTCATAGCTTAGTGGTTAGTGGGTCGAAACGGTTTCATTCCCTAAGCCTAAGCCCTAAACCCTAAACCTTAAACCCTAAACCCGAAACCCTAAACCCTAAACCCTAAACCCCTAACCCTAAACCCTGAACCCTAAACCCTAAACCCCTGTGGATCCTCATGAGGTGCTGGGGGAGCGGCCGTCCACGTTCCAAATGTCCGCGATCCACTCCACGCGGTCGTAGAGGAGCAGGTTAGTGGGTCGAAACGGTTTCATTCCCTAAGCCTAAGCCCTAAACCCTAAACCTTAAACCCTAAACCCGAAACCCTAAACCCTAAACCCTAAACCCTAACCCTAAACCCTGAACCCTAAACCCTAAACCCCTGTGGATCCTCATGAGGTGCTGGGGGAGCGGCCGTCCACGTTCCAAATGTCCGCGATCCACTCCACGCGGTCGTAGAGGAGCAGGAGAAGTGGAGGCTGCGATCCGTGCCTTGGGCAGGGGGTGGTTAGGGTTTGGGGTTTAGGGTTTAGGGTTTAGGGTTTAGGGTTTAGGGTTTAGGGTTTGGGGTTTAGGGTTTAGGGTTTAGGGTTTAGGGGTTTAGGGGTCAGGGTTTTAGGGTTTAGGGTTTTAGGGTTTAGGGCTTAGGGCTTAGGGCTTAGGGTTTAGGGTTTAGGGTTTAGGCTTCAGGGTATGGGGTGTGGGGTAACTCAGATTAAGCTACCATTGCAGTACATGGTTAATGAGGTAGCTGGTTGTTAGGTTTAGGGTGCAGGGTCTTGGCAGCCCAGTAACCATACTATAATAAGGGCACCCTTTTTGGGGTTGGTTACTTTAGAAGGGAACCCATAACCAAAAAAAGGGTAAAGGCTACCGCTGGGATACCAAGGGGTTTGGGGCGGAACATGAACATACACGGTCCAGGGTTTTAGCGCTGGGCTTAGGGTGTCAGGGTTTAACATTTAGGGAATGCAAATGTTTGAACATGCTGCCTTGGTCTGTCATGCATCAAACATCAGACTGAAGATACCGTTCCCTGTTGGCACCGGTGTCAGCCTCCAGCGACATTGCGTTTTATTTCTCAGCCAACCCTAAACCCTAAACCCTAAACCCTAAACCCTAAAGTCTGCGTGTCCATATCCAAGGCAGACTGGAGAGAGCGATGCCTTCTGACAGATCGTGCCCTGCAACTTGCTCATCGTCATTCATATGGCTGAATGGATCGCAGGCTTGCAAGTACAGCTCATGCAGCTGCACGGCACCTGTGGACCTTGCGGCTTCCGATGAAGAATGCAAGCATTTGCAACGGTAATAGACATAATAATATTAAGTAAGTGAGACGAAGAAGAAGAATAAGAAGAAGAAGAGTAGCAGTAGTTAATCGTAGCACACATCATTCATAGTAGAAATCATCATCGCAGATGGTACTCGCACTCGCAAGTCATGCTGTAGTAGCGACTCGCTCACTTCCCAAGCCAAACTATGCCAATCTGACATCTCTAGGACTTGAACCCCAACCTCCCCAAAGTGTACCGTCCCCGCTAGCGTGAGGGTTCACTGGTAGTTGTAGGCAGGCTTGGGTTTTGGATTGAGAGATACGGTCTTCGTGAGAAGGCAGAGGGCGGCTCTATCCAGCTGTATCCTAAACCCTAAACTCTAAACCCCAAAGCCCTAAACCCCAAACCCTAAACCCCAAACCCCAAACTCTAAACCCCAAACCTCAAACCCCAAACCCCAAACCCCAAACCCTAAACCCTAAACCCTAAATCGCAGCGCGCCTCCACAGATCGCGGTCCTTGTTGCGCCGAGCCCAGTCGAGGACTTTGCCAGTCACGTTGAGCTCTTCCTGAGTCTTTCTGTTTAGGGTTTAGGGTTTAGGGTTGAGGGTTGAGGGTTGAGGGTTTAGGGTTTAGGGTTTAGGGTTTGGGGTTCAGGTCCCAAGGCAACCTGGGGATACACCGGAACAGGATCCTGGCTCTGATGCCCTCATCAATGCTAAACCTTCAGAAGCAAACCCGCAAGCCGCTCCCTACTTCCTTACTAACAACTGATAAGTTTAGGGTTTAGGGTTTAGGGTTTAGGGTTTGGGGTTTAGGGTTTAGGGTTTAGG